AAACCGTTTAGATAAAAACAGCAAAAACATCATGGGGTGTTGGGCGCTGCTCAGGTGGACGTGCCTTAGCCAGTCATGCCCCTTCAACACAACAACACAAGCTTGGCCAACATGAAGCACGGGCCAACACTTGCGAGAAAGTGTCATGCACGAATGTTGTTCATGGCCTTTTGAGGAAACTCAATCAGTGACTCCGCGGGCGCTCCAACAAGCAGCTCCATTGTTGAAGAATTGAGAAGCCTTGCCTGTTTGCTTCGGAGTTTAACGAGGCTATGCGTTGCTGGAGTTGGGAGATCAAAGGGTAACCCTTATACCGCAACACATGACAAAAGACTTCTGTATGCGACTACTTGCTTGAACGTGCGGCAGCCTGTGTGGCACAACATTATCAAGCATAACAGGCATAATTCTAAAGAAAGCATGGCAGCCATTGATCGGGCACAATGAACACTGTGCTTTGCATGACCAAGCTTCCCAGGGATGCAACGTGTTCAATGTGGCAAGCGCATATGTGGCGCTTTCGTGGGTAGGAACATGGTTGTCAGATTTGCCCACGTAGGCATTTTGCAATTTAAAGAAATAGTTTGTCAATACGTTCTACTTTGCGTTGCAGGGGTCTTAGAACGCTGGACAAGTGCAACGCACTATCTCAATCTTCTTGAGATTCGGTCCGCCCTACACATGTTTTTGGTAGGTACCTTTAGCTGGCCATTGTCGGTCTTGCGCCAAGCGTCGTCTGCTTGCAAGCAAGAAATGCAGTTGATGATGACCTGGTCAGCCGGCTTTCCTTGGTAAATGAATGATAGGGCCATGCGCAAACAACACCAATAGCACCAATGTAACTTGAAAAATCAAAGTCATTCACCTACAAGATAAGTTCCCAAATCGGCTTGACCACATCCGCGCCCACTGAGATCCTCACTCTTGCGCAAAATGTCTCGGACCGTCTTGATGAGGTCCCTGGCCGCCGAGCCATGACTCTGTGGATTCAGTTCCTGGCCTCTTGCCGCCCAATGTTTGTGAGACCCTGGGGGCAGCTCCAGCTCCGGTTCGTGCCCCTTCCTCATGATTCCTTCTCAAATCATCTCTCAAACGCCGCCGGGGCGCGCCATGTCGTGCCGAGACTTGCCAAGCTGCTCTGGCCCCATATCTGCCCTGTAAGGCAGCGTGCGAATTTCCACTATCTCCTGGGCATGGACACCGCCAACTGTCGGCAGGGAAGCAGCTGAAAAAACACGTGGTTTGCAAGGGATGTGCAACAATCTGCAGTGCAACAATCCCGTCGCAAACGCCGGCGAACCCGAGCAAACAACACACAAACACACAGCATGTCACCGTGTTGTTCCTTGTGTGGTTCTTGCCCTTATGCGATTGAATTTCTGACCTTCCGCGACGCAAAGCCGCCCCTTGGCTGAAGACCCTTAGCCTTGACACATGTTCAATTGTGCTTTCAGGGCTTGTAGGGCGGCACCATGCAAACAGCAAGGATATGCAAGGATCTTAGGCAAGCGGTTGCACACTGGAGCCCAGCTTTGCGGCATTTGGTTGCTTTCGTGCAGTCCAAGAGGCTGGATCTAAGATATGTGTTGGCCGGATGTCCAGGCCAACTTCCTCGCCCAGGATGCCCTTGAGCGGCGTTGTCTATCCGAATCTTTCCCGGGGTGGCAAACGCCAGGGGAGTGTTGTTCGGCTCTCTGCTAGTATCGCAGATGGTGGTCCTTTTTGGTTTCAAGCGCCTTCTTTTTTTTGAGCGAATGCCTTCAGACACCAAACAATTCTGAAGAGCAAGTCAAAAAAAAAAACGGGATCCCCGAAGTCAAGTTGCCCCTCAATGCTCTCATTGTCACACTTTCTCAGACTTTTTCACCAGGCAACCTCTGACCTTGAGAGCCAGCATGAAAGATTGAACATGTCCAGACTGGGCTGCAAAACTCACACACACACACCACACACACACACATTGCATGTGATCTGCCATTTGCTGCCGGCATGTTTCAAGCAAGCTAGAAAACCTTTCACACCTGCCATGCCATCACCTGCCAGCTAAACTCGCATTGAACCAGCCTGCACGCTGGATAAGAACCCCGCCGGCAAACCAGGAAGAATGGAAAGATTATATAATGAAAAGAATCAAACGCAATGGCCATCGACCTCTCCAGCCGCCTCGTCCCGATGCGCTTTCAGCGGAGTTGCCGACATGTATAGGACCTGGCCAACACACACACACACACACTACAAACAAGCTGCTGTTGCTTTGAGCTTCAAGCTTATTTGGAAAGTATGTTCGGTATTTTGTGATGGTCTTGGATGTTCAACACGTGTCTTTGGTACACTACTAGTACCAGGTTACCAGTACGTGCGTGGCATGGAAGGCAAGAGACCTCGATAGCGTGTAGCTTGCCCAGAGCTAGAATGGAATGCTTGAGTGGATTCATGCAGTTGTGTTTGTCAACGCATGGCTCTTGAAGATTGAATTCATGGGCATTGCGCCTTCAGCCGGCTTTTGGAGTGTAAAATTCGACATGCCGGCTGACACGTGTATACATGCAGGAATCCGGCGCAACAAACGCCTGATGTTGGCTGAATTGCCAAACGGCTGGGTGTTGAACCCCGCGGGTTTCTTCGTAACAACCCAACATGGTTTCCACCCTCGCCCCCCGAAAAAAAAAAAAAAAAAAAAAAAAAAAAAAAAAAAAGAAAAAAGAAAAACATGGGTGGCCCGAAAGCATAACGGAAAGTGAGGGTTGGTTTCATATGAGTGTGTTTGCTTCCCTTTTCATGGTCAACCGGCAGATGCATAATTTTTATAGCCCGTCGCGTGGCTGCGCGCAGTATTCAGTGCAAGTGCTCGGCCCAAGAAAACAGTGCAAGTTGCTCTGCAAGCGCAAGTGCCCTGCAAGTTGCACTGCGCAAGCGCTCTGCGCAAGTGTGCTGCGCAAGCTCGGAACAAGATTCCATGAGCAAGTTCTCTGACTCTGAACAAGTTCTGTGCGCGCAGCGCTGGCCAGAAACGCAGCGGCCTTTCGACGTGATTTCAGCTGTTGATCCGGACCTGCGAAAGTTTACATTTGTGCAATGATTCCGTACTAGCTGCAATTTTCTAGCCGAAGCTGCAATTTTCTAGCCGAAGCTGCGAAAAAGAACCTGCCCGTGCTACTACTTTCGTACTTGAAAGTTGCAATTTCGCAGCCGGAGCTGTGCAAGTGCACATTGCGACTTACTTTCGCGCGAACTTAGGCTTCGAGCCGGCCACTCGCTTCCAAGAGAAGGCGCGCAAACCACGAGACAAACTTTCAAGCCAACGTTCTGCAATTTTACTAGCGCTTCGTGCGATCGACCGCCGATCCCCACAAATCCCGCGTAAAGGGTCGCGCGAACACCTCAAAATTAGACAGTCCTCAAGCATGGATCACGCCATCCCCGCAGAGAATCTCGCGAGGGCACCTCAGAAATCGTAAAATCCGCAGTTTTTGCACATCCGCACAGGCATGTAAAACATCGAAACAGTCCTCAGTTTTTGTACATGGGCGACCCACCGCGCCACCTTAAAAGACTAACTAATTACTCTCGCGTCCACATGTCTCGTGCGATCTTTCTCATGCTAGCTGGCTCGTGCCAGTTTGGCTGCGCGAGCTTTCTCGTGGAAATGGCGTGCAAGTTTGACTGTGCGAGCTTTCTCGCGCAAGTTTGGCGGTGCGATAATTTCACGCGCAAGTTGGCCCTTGCAAGTTGGCTCATGCAAGTTTGGCTAGAGCTGTGCGATCTTTCTCGTGTAAGTTGGATCTAGTGAGTTTGGCTGTGTGCGAGCTTTCTCGTGCAAGTTTGGCGGCGCGACAATTTCTCGTGCAGGTTGGCTCTCGCAAGTGGGCTCGTGTAGGTTTGGCTGCGCGATCTTTTTCGTGCCAGGTGGCTCGGGTAAGTTTGGCTGTGCGATTTGTCGCGCAAGTTGGCTCGTGCAAGTTTGGCCCTTGCAAGTTTGGCTGTGCGATCTTCTCGTGCAAGTTGCCTCGTCTGAGTTTGGCTGCGCGATTTCTCGAGCAAGTTGGCTCGTGCAAGTTTGGCCCTGATCTTTCTCACGCAAGTTGGCTCGTGTGAGTTTGGCTGCGCGATTTCTCGTGCAAGTTGGCTCGTGCAATTTCTCGTGCAAGTTGGCTCGTGTAAGTTTGGCTGCGCGAGCTTTCTCGTGCAAGTTGGCTCGTGCAAGTTTGGCTCGTGCAAGTTTGGCTGTGCGATCTTTCTCGTGCAAGTTGGCTCGTGTAAGTTTGGCTGTGCGATTTCTCGTGCAAGTTGGCTCGTGCAAGTTTGGCTATGCAGTTGGCTCATGTATTGTAAGTTTGGCTGTGCGATTTCTCGTGCAAGTTGGCTCGTGCAAGTTGGCTCGTGCAAGTTTGGCTGTGCGAAAAGGCTGGCGATTTTACCGGAAGAACCCTTCGCAATGCTTTCAGGGACAAAACAATAGACAAAGGCTTTTCGAATCGGGGGTGGGGAAGGAATGAGCCACAGCAGTATGGCGAGCCTGCAGCTTGTACGGATTTACATTGTCGCGGCGGTTGTGGCAGGGGAGTTCATCATGCCGGCACACGCACAGTACGTGAACGTATAGTTGCATCTAGGCCATTATGGCGCTTGTAATGCAAACGCAGTATTAGTAATCCCCCCCTATTAGACCGGTCCGGGTGCCCCCCTCCAATACTTAGGAAATCATAACTTAGCCTGTCCCCCCTAAATATAAAAAGTGTTTTAAACAATTAAACCGGTCCCTCCCCCAAGTGGAAACTCCAAATTTCAAAAGGAGGCTCCAGCAATACTAAAAAAGTTGGAAACTCAACTGCAAATCTCAAAAGGAGGCTCCAGCAATACTAAATCAAATGGAAACTTCCAGATTATTCAGGGGAGGCAGGCCGAAAACCTTCCAAAATCTTGCCAAACAAAAACCTTCTGACCTTCAAGGGGGGGTTATTAATACGGGGTTCGCGTTACACCCAACTTGCAGGTCCATGACTGATTCACTTATAGTTTCTGATTTTAGATCTTATCACTGTGGAAAAGCCACACGTACTCTCAATTGGATATTGGATCGCATGTATGTATGTATGTATGTATGCATGTATTACAGTATGTACTCACAAGGAGTATTCTTTGCTTGACTGCAGGCAAAGCAACATCCTCTTGCTCAATTTGTTGGCCTAGTGTGCCAATGCTATTGTCTCATCATTCCGAGTGTTTCCAAACTCTAAATTTATTCTAGGGGATGTCACCTTTGCCAAACATACCCGACAAGTTACCCTGTGGGAGGTTAATTTGCCTTCAAGCCCCTTGTTAGCAATTCTCCTCCAACACGTCGTTCCGGTCAGAGGGGCAGAGCAATAAACAATGGAGGACGATGCCAATACATCTCCTTTCCTGTTGCATCGAGAACCTCCCCACCTTGTCGGGCAACTTCTTCTGCAAGTCTTCCCAGCTCAATGGTCCTGACCGCTCCGCCGCGTACCTCAGAGCTGGCAAATACAAACTCAAAATTTGTTTCTGCAGAGGAAAAAGGTATTGCACCCTGAATTACGCCCAGTTCCCCAACTATTTCGTTCCAACAGAAACTAACTTGATCTATGTTTGGTTGGTTGTGCGTCATTTTGAGCTATTTTGATCCATTTGCGGCTTGTGTAGGGCATGTCCAACTCCCGTATAATCACACCCCCGTATTTCAGCGCTAGCATTTCCTTTCGCGCTTCGGACCGACGTCGCAAGTCCTACTTTGAGGATTTGCGTTTCTTGGTGGAACAGGATGTTTTGAGGTGGCCCCCAGCCCTACATTTAAAGCGTCTGGACCCCTCAATCCCGCAAGCAAAACCAACTAATTCAGGGGTTGGGTGTAGTTTACAGCTTGCACCCCACGGTGCTCGAGGTTTTCCAGGGTGTTTTTAGACCCCTCAATCTTCCAAGGATCCCCCCAGCAAAAAAAAACAGCTAACATAAGTCAAAATAACTCGGGAGTTGGGTGTAATAGCTTTCACCCCACGGTACGGTGTTTTTGGAACCCCCGAGACACCCCAAATGATCTGAAATTGGAATTACTTTGCGAGGGACCCTGTTTAATGAAACATTGGCAACATCTCTGTGGAATTGTGAATCTAATTTGTTAGTACATTGGCAAGCTGGCAGCCTTATTCACAGCTGAGCCGCTAGATGGCAAATATTGCTTCTGAGTCGATTCTGTAAGAAGGAAGTCAAGCGAAGTCAAAATAACACAAAACAAGTCAAACTCAGTAGGAAGGAGGGTGCAATCTCAAGGTGTAAATTTTGACAACATCTTCATGACAATCATTGCGCTGGGCACTTGCCAAGACAATGTGCCGTCACATGACAGGCTTGGCGTACTCATAGCCAATCCCATGATGTCGACCTATGATTAAAAAAAACCAAAATCGATTAAAGTTTTGTTGTGGGCCGGCACTGATTCATAACTTCCCCCGAAATAAAACTATCCACACTCACTCTCAAAAAACACACCAAACAACACACACACACACACACACCCGCCAGCATCATCTCAACCTCTTCCACTAGCTGGTCTGATTGGTCAGTATCTGCCTCGCCTGCCTTAAATTTTCAGATCTACAAAAAACCCAGCTCCCAAACTGCAAATTATTTACATATTCTTGTTTAAAAAGGGGCCCCGAATCAACCCTACAAGGAGGGGGTAGCAATGGAGGTTGAAACACATTATTTAGGGCCCCCCCCCCAAATAAAAAATCCTGGTTGCCCCCCGGAAAAACACACACACTTGTGTTTGAAAAGGCTTTCTCAGTAAAAGGCTCAACCTTTAAAATATGTCCCTTGAAGCATGATCCCCATGATTTCAATCATCTAGCTTGTGCAATTCAAACAAACATCCCAGCTCCCAAACTACAGTTTGTTTACATACTCTTGTTTAAAAAGTGGCAGGGGGGTAGCACTTGGGGGTTGAAAAAACATATTTAGGGGCCCCCTAAATCAAGATTCCTGGTTGCCCCGCCCCCCAAAAAAATCACCAGCAATGCTAAATCAAGTGGAAACTCAAATCCCTCAAGTAAAATCTCAAAAGGAGGCTCCAGCAATACTAAACCAGTTGAAACTCAAATCCCTCAAGTCAAATCTTAAAAGGAGGCTCCAGCAATGCTAAATCAATTGGAAACTCACATCCCTCAAGTCAAATCTCAAAAGGAGGCTCCAGCAATACTAACCCAGTTGGAAACTCAAATCCCTCAAGTAAAATCTCAAAAGGAGGCTCCAGCAATACTCAACCAGTTGAAACTCAAATCCCGCAAGTCAAATCTCAAAAGGAGGCTCGAGCAATACTAAACCAGTTGGAAACTCAAATCCCTCAAGTCATGTCTCAAAAGGAGGCTCCAGCAATACTAAACCAGTTGAAACTCAAATCCCTCAAGTCAAATCTCAAAAGGAGGCTCCAGCAATGCTAAATCAATTGGAAACTCACATCCCTCAAGTCAAATCTCAAAAGGAGGCTCCAGCAATACTAACCCAGTTGGAAACTCAAATCCCTCAAGTAAAATCTCAAAAGGAGGCTCCAGCAATACTCAACCAGTTGAAACTCAAATCCCTCAAGTCAAATCTCAAAAGGAGGCTCGAGCAATACTAAACCAGTTGGAAACTCAAATCCCTCAAGTCATGTCTCAAAAGGAGGCTCCAGCAATACTAAACCAGTTGGAAACTCAAATCCCTCAAGTAAAATCTCAAAAGGAGGTTCCAGCAATACTAAACCAGTTGGAAACTCCAAAGGGATTTAATCTCCAAAGGTTGCTCCAGCAATACTAATCAATTTCAAACTCAAATCCACCAATACTGCACCAATTGGAAACCCGAATCCAATCTCCAAAGGAGGCTCCAGCAATACTAAAACAATTGAAACACAACAAACCTGTGAGCAATACTTGGCAATTCATAATAGAGTTTGGAGAACTATTTGGGGCGGGAAGCTGTTTGGGGGGGAGGAGGGGGGGGGTAGTGTATTTAATCAGAGGTAGACATTAGCCCTTTTACAGGGAGAGACTTCCGACACCTTCTGCTAACATGCAGTGCAGGTGGGCAAGCTAGGCTTCCATATCGCCGGCAAGGATATGGAAGACATTTTCCAGGCCGAGCCACATGTTTCGGCGGAGAAGGCCGTCCCGAGCAAGTGCCTTGACCTCAGTGCACGTCCAAGCCCCGTCTCGAGCAAGTGAAAACTCCTTGCGTGAGAAATTGAGGCGATCGTTTCTGAAGGGATTTGTTTTTGAAGGGATAAGTTGATGAATGAATCGAGCCCGCTGGAAAGGAATTATGATGACAAGTGTCTGCAAACAAAATGTGTTGAGGCCCAAGGTAGCCCCAAAAAGCGTGAGAGGGACCTCTCGCCCCCCCCCCCCCACCCCCCAAAAAAAGGTCTCTCCAAATTCCCCAGTGGTGCGCGTTCACGGCAACAGTGCCAAAACAGCTTTCCCTGTTTCCCCCATGGCGAAGTCAAATACCCACTGATGTGACTGGGTAAAACCTCTTCCGGGGTCCTTGGAAGCCCGTGCGCCGAGCAACCCCACGCATCTTCACGCAACCCTTAGCTCAAAACATCCAGCCCTGCACAGCGTGCCAACCTCGCCTGATCCCCGAGCACCCGGCCCGAGTTTGGTGGGCCCGGTGCGGCCGCATCATGGCGCTCAGCGAGCTGTGGCACTCGTCCACCACAAAGAGCCAATCCCGTTGGTAGGTTTCCTGGGCGCTTGGCTCATGCCCCTTGGCAGCCTCCACTGTGGGGTGGCATTTTGAGGGCCGCACAACTTATTGATATGGTTGGACTGACTACGCTTTGGGTGACTGACTGTTGAGAGCCCCTGCCAACTACGCATAACTATGCAAATTCCGAAGCACTCAAGCTTGTGCACGCCCTGTTCGCGCCAAGTCGTAACCAAACTTGCTCCGCTGCTGTCTGGGGTTCTGCTTTGTCCTAGAAATGCCGAACCTACGGGGGCCAGTTCAAGCAGTGAAGCAGGGCGTGGCCGAAGGCTGCGCGCGCTCAATTCACAATCGTCGGAAGTTCCTGATTCCAGGGCGTGGCATCTTCGCAAACAAACAACCAAACCAATATGCTTCGCGAGCTGCATTGCGGACCTTTATGGGCTGCTTTACAAAAGGCCACGCCATTAAAAAGAAAACAATGAGTAAGCCGCTGCAAGCCGCTGCATACATTGTGGCAGCTCTGGTAACAGCTTTGCAGTAGTTTCTCTGCACTACAATGGTACATTAAAAGTCCAAATGTCTATTCAATAGATCCGCATAGTTTTCCATATTGAAATGTCGCTCGAACTGGATAGACCTGTTTGCAACAACTGTTTGAACAACCAAACTGTTTTTCACACTGAAATGATGATGTGTACACACACATGGCAACATCAAAACAAATTAAGGGTAGTACTTTACAACACTGGATTGGCAAGTGAAACACAATCAAGCTGATTCGATGGGCTGGAGCGCCCAAGAGAAAACCATTGCGGACACCAATTGTTGCATGTTACTTCGGGTGTTTGGTCAGTGCATGGCTGGTCTGACATGTTGTCCCCCAAAGCAAAAAACAAGAACAAAAAGAAAAGCAAGTGCAAGATAAACCACGTGTTTCACAAAGTCCATCGCGTAACTTGAGCGGAGACTAACTCATAAACCCTATCCGATCTTCCAGCGACCCTTCCGAAAGGCTTGCGTGGCCAGTCTCCTATGTCCAAGGACCCCCATAGTATTCCCGTACTTGAGGCGAGGGCAGCGCCAAATGCATCGAGCTCACGTTAAAAGCATCGAAGATGGTCCGTCTGAACCTGCCTGGCAGGAGGTCGGCGTAGAGATCCTCGGGCCGTCAACAATAATGGCCCGTGTGCAAGGGAGAGAGGTGGGCTAGGAATCTGTTTCGCACATGTAGACACTCGTCCAAGTTGCATACATATTCGGGCAAACGCCCTTCTCTTTCAGCGTGGCGATGTCG